CTCCACACACGGAGGGGCATCATCAACCGTGTCGGTTGAGCGCGGGAGCGCTCGATGCTCGACCGCGCCATCGACTGGCGAGAGTCTTTGCTCGATCGCCGTCGTAGCCGGTGGGAGTGTCAACTGCTCGACCACCGGTGTGGATGACGGAAGCTCCAACTGCTCGACCGCCGAATCGCGTTGCGAAAACCTCTGCTCACCCGCTAGAGTGTGTAGCGGGAACCCATGCTCAACTGCCTTGGTGTGTTGCGGGAACCCATGCTCGACCGCCGTGTTGCGTGACGGGAACCCATGCTCGACCGCCTGCTCGGATTGCGGGAGCCCCTGCTCTACCGCCAAAGTGCTAAAACCTCGCTTCGCAGCGAGGTGTTTTCGCGCAACAGCGATGTGCAAGACATACAGAGAGGGTCATCGCTCGCTCTCTGCTCAACCTGCATTGTGGACAACCGGTCCACGACCGTGACATTGGGCCAGTCCTTCTGGGCAACCAGGAGGTGCGTGAACACCTCACCCACATCGAAGCCAGAGCGGTGTTTAGCCGACCGATCCAACGTGAACACCTCACTCACATCGAAGCCAGAGCGGTGTTTAACCGACCGAGCCAACCAGTCAATCTCTGGTTGATATCGTGACAGCCACGGGATACACAAGATGCAGTCGAACGCGTAGTTCATCTCAATCACGAGGAAGTCGTCGTTGCTGCGGAAGCCGTTGAATGTGTACGGCAACGTGATCTCGTGCTGCGCAACGCGGCGTGGCTTTCCGTCAGCAAGTTTGACGACGACCTGACCTCGACTATTACGGACTGCGATCTCTCTTGGAAGCATCGATAAGCACTATTCGGGAAAGAAGTTATTCGACGCTCCTGAGTCCAGGAGTGCCCGAAGTGGTCGCCGGGCGCCGGCGACATGAAGACTGACGATATTCAGTCTCGAGTCGCCCGACGTGGCGGTGGCATTAAAGTGTGCGTGGAGCACAGGAGGGCTAGAAGGCTGGGTAGCCACCGGGGGACCCGGACCTCCATTCCAGCCAGTAGGGCGCCCCGCACCTACTGGCCCTGACCGTTTTTTTTACTGAACGGCAGGTGAGACTTCGGCGGTGTGCGCGAGTACCGGCGCTGGCGCGCGGCATTCCACCGCGCGATGACCGATCTTTCGGCAGCGGAAGCAAGTGAGCGGGCGATTAGGACGGCCGTTGGGCCCACGAGAAGTCGACTGACGGTGAATATTCGACGCGTTAATCGCGTCGATCTCCATGGGCTCGGGGGCTGACTCACGAGCTGCCGTAGACATCGCGCGCGCGTAAGACGCCGCCACAACGTAGTCTTCGCGTAATGCGAGGGCGAATGCTACCTCGAGAGAGGAAGGTTCCGCTCGGGTCAGGCAGTACGTGTCATGCCTTCACGCATGCCAAATACGAATACATGGACCTGCGAGTGCTGTGTCAATCGAATTTGTCTCGATGCATGACGCGAGGTGGCG